AAGGAGTTACTTGTTGATAGTTTATAATAAGTGTTTTAGTAAAAGGTGTGAATAGTGCTTTTCTCAGTGCGTTCATTTGATTTTTTATTGGACTTTTCATCAGAAAATGCCCAAGGCGGGAGTATGTTGGATTTTCTAATAATTATTCCTGATTTTTATATTATTATTTATATTATGGTGCAATCTATCCTTATTGTATTGGTTACAAGTATTGGTGCAATATCAATTCTCCCAAAACATAAAAAAACCCACAAGAAGGAACAAGTTTTTATTATTTTAATTAATCAGCAAGAAATTGCTATTGCACAAAATACAGACAATAAATAAAAAATGTAACTTTGTTTATTGCCGATTGTCATCGTAATGTTTTGAAAAGTTAATACAGTCCACTTTTATTAAGAACAACCCGGTGTTTCGTAATAATTTTCTATTACATAACCTCTCGGGTAAAATGAGCTATTGAAGCTTTTATGTGTTAACAGTAATTTATTCAGTAACTTTTGTTTTTAATGTTGACAGTACGCTAGCAATTTTTTTTTTCTACTTTTGGCAAATATGTTCGCGCATCGCAATATGGCGTCTAAACAAAAGGTCAATTGGGAAGTTTATAAAGGGTTGTTGACAATTATGTAGTAGATTGCAGTATTAGGGTTGCTGGAAAACAGTTGTCAAGGTACAGATTATTATCTCCCAAATGCACCGTCAGGACTTATGGGTCAATTATTCTGTGCACATCTGTAAGCAATTCTATAAATTTCTATAAGTCTATAGCTGCCTTAAGACAGGTTGTAATTTTGCACTTCCTATAGATTATAGAATATTTTATAGGATCGTAAATATTTCCGATGGAGTGTTTGGCAAACGATGCATTTTGCAGTGTTTACAGTGTTGCCAATTGCTCTTTTCAAAATTACTGACAAGGAATTCCATCTTTACTGGTAATTACTGGCAAATATAAAAAGTCGAATTTAGGCCCTAGTTTTAGGCGATTTCAAGTCAGACACAAGTCTTGACTCCTTTTGTATTCACATTTTCAAATCAGAAATGATGACGTCAAGTTGCAAGACCTTGGCTTGAGAAGGGTCATTCTCGCTAGTTAAGCCGGGCTCAGACGACTCGTGTACTTGGCGAATACACAATTATTCGCGTACTTGGCAAGTATACTAGCTTTGCGAATTGTGATGGCAAGCAGGGCGCTCACACGACGTGTTCAATTTACAAGTACGCGAGCGCAAACATTTGGCTAAACCTTGGATGCTCGTCGAAAACTAAATGAAATAGTCGCAGTAAAAGCCAATTATTTGTGCATTTCGTTTGAGCGCCTCTACAAGTATAGACAAGTATGAACTTGGCAAGTGTACGAATAATCGTGATCCCTTTGACTCGGGACATTTTTACCGACAAGAAATGGAAAACCAACGAGTGACAAATTAATAGATTAAACGAACTTACCTAAGTGAAGTTCTATCTTAATTCTATGAAGCGCCTTTTCGTAGAGATTAGAAATAGAAAACAGGTAGTCAACCCTTTGCTACTGGAGTTTCTACAAAATTCAAAGCAACATATCGATAGTCTGTCTTGACATCGCCCATTCCTAGTTATACATAACCTCATTAATTTCAAAGCAGCCCCTCGAGAAAGCGTCATACGTCATCCTGTGAAACGCTTTCACGAGGAGGCTAAATGACAAACACAGGGCAGGGCAGGACTCTCCCTGTGTGTAATGAATAAAATAAACATAAAATTTGCAGACAAATTATTAAGGGTAACAATAATCTTATGGGATTATTGGGGAGGGTGGGACTAATCTCTATGAAAAGGCGCTTCATAGAATTAAGATAGAACTTCACTTAGGTAAGTTCGTTTAATCTATTAATTCTATTTCGCGCCTTTTCTACGAGATTAGAAATAGAAAACAGGTAGATGTTTAAAGCAGTCTGCAAATTTTTTACCAGCAATTCAATTAAAAAAACGACTGACAAAAATAAGAAAAAATAAAGATTTATTATTATGATAATATGTCCAACAAGACATAAATAAATATATGAACAAAAGAAACATTCTTATAAATCAACAAGTACATTGTTAATAACATGAAAAAACTCAAACGGTTATCACCACAGGCTACAAACAGTATAACATAATAATATATGCATAATAAGTATAGGTAATATAATATCAATTTCTTAAATTCTTATAGCTAATTCTAATTAATTTAACACAGCTCTAGCAAACAGATCTTTCTCTACTTGCAATGGCTTATTATAAAACACTGCAAAAACTCCGGATCCGGAAGACCAACCTACAGTCTTGCGTATCAGATCAACGGAAACACCATTACGTAAAGCTTTTGATGTAGAAGCATGGCGAGTGCTGTGGGAACTAAACTGATTAGTGTCTACCCCACTCAGTGTGAGAGTCATCCGAATCCATCGACTAATGCTTTGTGAGGAAGCTGCCTTATAAGGCTTTTTGAATGTTACAAATAAATGTGGAATATCACCTCTTATAGTCTTAGTTCTTTCTATATAATTCAATAAGGTATTAGCCACACAAAGCTTAGGTTTCTCTTGGAAAAAAGGTAAATTTAATAATGGTTGATTTCGGTTAAGTCCAGAAGTTTTTATCCGGTCTGGTATTTTAATTTCTATGCCCCCCCGAGTCCTTCTAATATTTTCAATCTTAATCAGAGAAAACGTCTGAACCCTATGCCCAGTCACCAGAGCAACTAAAATAACTAATTTCAAAGTGAGATCTCTAAGAGATAAGTCTTTGTCCTCTGACTGTTTTTCTAAATAATCAAGTACTACGCTAGGGTCCCAAGTTTCTGAGTACTTGGGCTTATTTGGTCTTAAATTCACAATGCCCTTGAAAAATCTCCTGATCCTAAAATCCTGCATTAAATCTGGACTAACCAACAAGCTTAAAGCTGACCTAAAACTATTAAGGGAACCAAAAGATTTCCCCTTATTGTATTCCCTGGTGAAAAAACTCAAAATGACAGAGACGGATGGCGAAAAAAGCTGTAAATTTTTTTCATGGCAAAATTCCCACCAAAGCTTCAGGGCAGTATTATACTGCTTTAATGTCGAAGAGCTCACTGATGCAATCATGATGTCTAGTGAATCTGGAGGGACTCCTTTAAGCTCGAATGCCTTCCTGAGCAGACACCTGCCACCAGGGTAAGCTGGTTCCACAAAGGATGTGGATTCCTGTCGAAAGATAATAATTTCCTATTAGGCTTTAGAAAAAGTGGTGGCAAGACTAATAATTTTTCAAATTTGGGAAACCAAGGCTGGCTGGGCCAGTATGGTGCAACTATAATGCCCTTCGCTCTATCAATAATAATTTTCTTCAGCACTCTGGGCATCAAACAAAATTGGGGGAAGGCATAAAAGAAATATCCAGCCCAAGAAATAGTAAAGGCATCAACATTGGAAGATTCGGGGTCAGGTAACCAAGAAATGAACGTAGGGCATTTTCTGTTAATTCGGCTCGCAAAAAGATCTATTGAAGGGCGGCCAAAGTTGTCCACAATCTTGGAGAATGCTTCATTTGATAAACACCACTCGTTATCGGATTCACGAATCCTTGACTCCCTGTCTGCTTCAAAATTATCTGCAGAAGAAATATAAGACGCATAAACCCAAATCTTCCTTTGCTCACACCATTGCCACAGTTCTTTAGAAATGCCATTCAATTTAGGGTATTGCACCCCCCCCCCCCCCCATTCTGTTCACATACGAAATAGCTGTAGTATTGTCGATCCTCAAGAGGATTTCACAATCACTTAAGTCTGTAGCAAAACATTTCAGCCCGAAAAAAGCAGCCAGAAGTTCTAACGCATTAATGTGTAGAATCTTTTCACTAGGTCCCCAAAAACCCCCAGTCTTTTTACTGTCACACACTACTCCCCACGCCAGAGGCGTAGAGTCAGAAAAAAATTCAAGGACAAACGAATATTGTCTAATGGGACAAACTGGAGACTGTAAACATTTAAGCCACCAATTAAAATCAGGAAACAAGTCATTGGATATGGTCATTACAGCATCGTAATCGCTTTAATGCTAGGTATTTTGCTCTCTCAAATGCTTTAGTATAAACCCAGTTGTAAGCAATGGCTGGACACGCTGAGACCAAAACACCACAAAACTGTGCAAACTCTGAAATCTTACAATGCTGTTTTGACTTAAACCTAATTAATAATCTCTGAATCTTCTCACATTTATCTTCAGGTAAACCTAATGACATCGTTTGTGAACAATAAATGAAACCTAAGAATTTGCACTGCTTAGAAGGTTCTCTTTTTAAAATTGATAATGAAACCTAACTGAGCCAGCGTCTGACAAGTTATGTTAATGTTCTGAAGGCAACAATTATAAGAGTCTGCCAGGAGTAAAAAAACATCGAGATACATCACTGATAGAAAGCCCCTTGCGCGCAAATGAGCTACAATTGGTTTCATGAGTTTAGTAAAAACCCAAGGACTTGTACTAAGGCCAAAGGGCAACACATTATATTGCCAAATGCTATCATTAAAAGTAAATCTTAAAAACTTTTTATGATCTTCTAAGATTGGAATCGAAAAGTAAGCATCTTGAAGGTCTAATGTGGCCAAGAAACAATCTTTTGATATCAAAACCAATGCCAGTTTAGAATCTTCCAACTTAAAATGATCTGTTTGAATGAACTTATTCAGATTTTTCAAGTTTAAAATGAGTCTATTGGTTATATCTGATTTAGGAACTGTGAAAATAGATGATAAAAACTGACCCTCACAAGGTTCACACTGTGAAACTGCTCCAATATTTACCAGATGTTTAACCTCTTTGAAAATACTTAGCCTCTTCTGGTCACTCCAACATGTCTCCTTAGGAGGATTGAGCTGAACCGCTCTATATGCAAAAGGTATTGAATATCCTTTTAACCATGATAGGATCAATGGATCTTGAGTATATTTGGCCCACACGTCGTAAAAACTTGACAGTCTGCCAGAAAATCTACTTACTAATATTTTCTGTTGGCCTTCTTGGATGGCACATATCTCCTGTTGGATTTTTCTTCTCGTCCCTTGGACTGGTGGTATTTGCTGTGGTAGTGGTAACTCTGCCCGCCCCGACGTTGATTGTAAGTTTTCGTCCTTGTCGACTGTCGTGACGGGCCCTGGGAGTTTAAATCCCTATTGTAGTTAGAGCTTGTCTTGGGTTTGAAAGCTGACTTCTTAGCAGATTTCAAGTCAGTCACATTCCTCTCCATCACCTTTGCCTCTTTGATCCTTTTTGTCAGATCCTCACCGAACAGCCATTCATCCAACTTAGCATTGTTTAGAGCATCCTTGTAATAAGTTGGTAACAGGCCTTGTAGTGAAAAACCAGTTATGATGGACCTACGTGACATGGATTCTGAATGGTACCAATCAGCAAGTAGTCTGTTACAGTCACTCAGACCCTCAATTAATGAAAGTATATCTTCAGTCTTTTCCATTTTAAGGAGTTTAGAGAGTACTTTTGCGGATGCAGCCAAAGCAATCCCAATTTGGGTTTGTGTCAGTCTCAATTTATCGTCTCTCTTCCTACCACTCTCATTTAGTGCCGAATAGATCTGTGTATTGCACTTGGGGGCTCTAAGTATTTACAATTTTCGGGTAAAAGGTATTTCTTTAATAAGTCATTTCTGTCCTCCTCGACCAAGCCAGATTTAATGAGCCCTTCGTACTGGGAGGCTAAGATATCATGCAATGGTTCCCCAAAGACAGGATCATTGGAGCGAGTACCTAACTTCTCACACACTGTGACATCTAAGGCCTCATTTTTGGGCTCATTATCAGTATTGTCCAAAGGGTCCTGATGAGGTTCTTCCTTATTCTCAGGGCCTAAAACCAAGAAAACCGTGTCTGAAAAACGCTGTCTATAACAATAAGACCTGAACAATTGGGATAAAGAGTTCCACCCATGGGGATATGACACAGATAAATATTCCATGGGAATAACCACATTATTATGTGAAATAGATATCCACTGGAAGAACAAACCTGTACTTAGATACTAATGCTAAATCTCAGTCACCAATCATATCTCCACGGGAGAAATGAAGTCATTCACTGAATAGACTTACTTCCATTACAATCCACAACCAAAGGATCTTCATCCTCATGCCCACGGGGCATCGGAGAGCGCTCTGTGTGCTCATCATGTTGGGACAAACTTCTTGTAACACTTATGCATCTGCCAGTCCCACGGGGACTAAAAGGCACTCTAATACGTCTTCTGGAACGTCCAGAACTTGACGATGACGAAGAGGTATCCGAGGACTCATCACGCTGTCGTTTCTTACCCCTTTCGTTCTTAGAATGTAGCTTCTCTTCACTGCTCCTCTTTGATTTAATTCTAGCCTTTTTCTGTTGCAATTGCCAAATTTTGAAGTTAATAAAATCTTCCTCATTGTCTGAGGAACCAGAGGATGCAGATCTTCTCCTTTTATTCCCCATTTTCAGCAAAAAAAACACTAAAATTCCGAATTCAAAATTTTCCGCGTGCAGAAACTCTAGTACAAAAAAGATTAATGAGGTTATGTATAACTAGGAATGGGCGATGTCAAGGCAGACTATCTTTATTTTTTCGATATGTTGCTTTGAATTTTGTAGAAACTCCAGTAGCAAAGGGTTGACTACCTGTTTTCTATTTCTAATCTCTACGAAAAGGCGCGAAATAGAATAATTGTACAAGTAACCCACTCACACGACATGGCAAGTATACGCAAGTAACGATTATTCGCCAAGTACACGAGTCGTCTGAGCCCGGCTTTACCAGAATAGAATTTGAATTTGTGTTTATCATATCCTCATGACATGAATCAGCTATTTTAAATTCCTATATACTAGACAAAGATAGACTGCTCATCAGAAAAAAGAATGCGCCCATAGCAGGAGAAAAAGAAACATTTTCCTTTCTTGTTTAGGAGTCGAAAATGAAAAATTATGACAATCTTGACATGGTTAACACATAATTTTAGATTTTAATCTTGGATTTCAAAAAAATAGTAAAATTTGATGAAATATTTAAATTACTAGCAAATCACTAGCACCAAGACTTTACTGGCAAGGTGTTTTTTTACTGGCAAATGCCAATAATTAATGGCACTTTGGCAACCCTGAGTGTTTATAGGCTTATGGAAATTTATAGATTTGCTTACAGATGTGCACAGAATTGTCCCATTAATCCAGATTAATTGCTAAAACTAGATTAGGACTTCTTTTTTTATGAAAATTTTCGCGAGATTAAACCCTCAAGTCCATGTGGTGCATACAAGTGTATGGGTGTATGTTCTTATATTTTTGAATGATATGAAAAATTTCCTCAATTTTATAAAGAAAGACGTGATATGTTGGATTGATTAATTTTGAAGCCCGTTCGAGCTAAGAATCAGCCACAGTTATTCCAGAAGTGGAATAATTTCAGGAAGTGCCATTATTTGCGGGAAATACCATAGCCGCTTTCCACATTGGCGCGCTCTAGAGCACTCGGAGCGCCACGCACTAGATTTTTACCGTTCCAGTATCATGACGCATGACGTTTGTCCGTACGTAAAGCTCGGGAGCTCAACGCTCCGGGTAGCTCCGAGTGTCGCACGCCCGTACTGGAAAGCAGCTCTTTTCGCAAGTGTTAAGCCTAGTACTCATAACAGCGAAATTCGCTCTTTTTAAACATTCCTTCGACAATTTGACGTTCTATGCGTGAATCGTGAATCAAACGTCAAATTGTCGAAGCAATGTCAAAAAAGAGCTAATTTCGCGGTTATGAGTACTAGGCTTAAGGAACACAATTTTTCTCAAGGGTGTGCGGAAAGATTACTCTGTGCATGCCAAAAGTTTTTTTTCCGCACATTCGTAGTAAAAAAAAAGGGTTATCTTAGTTTCAGGTTTCAGGTCTCTAGAAAATGGCAGAGATTATCCTGTTTTCAATCCCTAGTAGGACTGCTTATTGAGCTAAAAGTCTCTACACTGCTATGTCAGCTGCATACCTCAACTTTTGGAGTGAAATTCCTAAACGTTAAAATCTTGTTGCAATCACCTTTTCTATATTCAAAACATTTAAAATCGACGAAAAAATCAAATAACGAGCACAGCCTAAATAGCAAGCCTTCGATCAAGGTCTGCGGGTGACGTCATCACTGTTAGCATTTGTGGCGACGTCACTCGCAGACCCTGCCTCCTCAAGAATTGGTGAACCTACGCCTTATCCTGTTTACGATTGTTGTATAAAAATGTCGAAAATTCCAACAAAATCCAGAGGCGTTTTCTCGCGTCTCAAATATTTCAAAACATTTTTCAAAACTGGTTTAAGTAATGTCACCATGACGTCATAATTTCTCGGCGCGAGAAAATGGTTTGGAAATGTGGATTGGATTGTATTTCGAAACGGTTTGAACCAAATTTGACGTGACGTCATAGGTTTTTCGCGAGAATGTACTGTTTCAAAACAGTTTTGAAGCAGTTTCAAAAAAGTGGACGCGAGAAAACGCCTTACTCTTTCATTGCACAAACAAACTAGCATCTGCAAAAAGTTTCTTTCTGACAATTGAAAAATAAATAATTCTCTCGTCAAAAATCATTTTCTGTAACTTGAAAACATTACCTACATATTCTAAAAACTGCTGATTGCATCACTCGTTAAACAATAAACATTGTCCGCACATGTTAGGAAAATCTAACCCAAACAAAATAATATACTTTGACGTCAATTTGGCAACGCAGCACTCCTTGCCTTAACCTTCTAGAATTGACCTTTTGTTTGGACGCCATATTGCGGTGCGCGAACATAGTTGCCAAAAGAAGAAAACAAAAATTACTAACAAGCTGTCAACATTAAAAACAAAAGTAACTAAATGATTGATCCTTGCTATCCTTTTTGTTTGTTTACTTTCTCTCTCTGATTGATGAAAGTAAATAGGTAGATATTCTATTATTTCTATTTTGCCCAATACAAGCTAAAATTGATGGCTTTTCTTTTCAAAAACATTTGTGAAAGACGGCAAATTCAAATTTTAAATCTAATTTATTCAGTAACTTTTGTTTTTAATGTTGACAGTACGCTAGTAATTTTTTTTCTACTTTTGGCAACTATTTTCGCGCACCGCAATATGGCGTCCAAACAAAAGGTCAATTACCTAAAAAGCAAAAAAATCAAAGTCGATACAAGCACACATACCATAACGACGAACGAACGAATACTTGTTCAACAGTTTTAGGCCAAAGCCTGGGAATGTTTTAACACTAGAAGAAATTTTGAAACATATCACCTCTATTCATTTTTCCGATTTATTTCTCTCTTGTTTATAAAAGATTAAGGACATTTTTTATATATCATTCAAATACATAGGAACGTACTGTGAACATAATAATAAACAAATAAACTCTACCCTGACAACCATTTTCCAGCAACCCTCTGATACTGCAACCTACTACACTGTTGTCAGCAACCCTTTAATAACTCCCAAATTCTCTGAGGGTGTTTCTGAGATATGACAACCTCAATGCTGGCAACACATGAAATACTATTACAAGTTGGAAAATAAAGATCTACTACAAAGGTTCGAGGTAAAACATAAAAAATTCAAGATGATCGAAGCTCTAATAATAAAGTTATGAATTTTTTGAATTATGCAAAAGAAGCATTGACAAGCCTTAATTTTGGAATTTTTACCTCAAAAACTACCAGGGGCGCAAAAATGAAATTTTGAGGATCTTAAAGGTATGAAATAAAATATATTGAAAATTCAATGTGATTGAACCATGAAAGATTGTCTTATGGGAAGATACAGAGGGCTCAAAGGCAACACAGGTAGAAACCTGTAAGGGCGTATTTTTCACATTCATTTCAATTTTAATCTCTGCTTTTATTATTTATCCCTTTTATTAATTATCATAAACAATTCCAGGTCGAAAAAGGTAACACAAGAGTCAAAGCCCTAAAACGCCAACTAGACGAAGCCGAAGAAGAAGTGACAAGAGAAAAGGCCCAGAAACGCAAGGCGCAACGAGAATGCGAAGACATGATCGAATCGCACGAAAGTATGACGCGGGAAATAAACAATTTGAAAAGCAAATTGAGGTAAGCAATCTCTATAAATTCAACAAACACCTTTTAAATTTTTACCCACTTGATTTCTAGCACTGTGAAATAAAAAAAAAAGAAAGAAAAATCAAAATTTTGGTATGTTAAACAAGGCGCGCTTATATGGCAATATTAATTATTATTGGCTTTTAATTAAAACTAACAATTCAATGTATCATTCATTTTTTCCTGAACAATTTATGCTCTTTAGCATGACTCAAGTAATCACTACGGCATTTACTACAAACGAGAACCTGCAAAATAGCATCCCGGCAGCAATTAGGAAAATACGGGGTGCTTCTTTAGAAATTCAGTAAGTCAACTACTACTGCTACCCCCTTCGAGTGCAATTTTAACTGTTTTTTTTTGTTTGTTACTAAACTAAACTTAACACTTAATTCTATATATAAATTATTGATTCGATTTTTATAGGAGAGGAGCCGGTATGGGTTTGTCCTCGTCTCGTCTCAGTTCCACCAAGCGGGGTTCCATACAAACCAGCGGAAACGGTTCCGGAGACGATTCGACCACTCAAGACGAAGCCATGGACGGTGACGAGGGACCCAACTAAAAAGCATTTACCTAACGCTTAAAATAATTAACAATTAATAAGCTTCAATCATTTTTGTGTATATATATTATTTTACGTTGTCTAGTACTTAGCCAAGTGTTTTACAATAATTTTTTATACTTATTGTAAAACACATTAAAACATCTTATTTTTTAATTATTATTAATTATTATTATTATTATTATTGGCGCTTTTATTTATATTTGTATTATTTTATATATTTCAACAAGTATTCTATTTTATTGTTACAATTTTTCAATTATTTCATTGAGGTCTAAATTATATCAAATACATAATACTTACACTAACAATAATTAAATTTAGGCATTTTTGATACACATTTTTGTAGAGATAATCTATATACATACATATATATTTTTCTTTTTTTTTTTTTGTAAAAATTAAGGCCATCGAGTTTTTGTATTATAAAACGTGAACTTATTGCATTTTTGTATATAAACTTTATACTTATTATGGGATCAGGGGGCTCACTTATTATACAATAATAATTCATTAACGAGTTCAATTAAAATAAAAAAACTTGTACGAATCTATCGTTGGTTTTATTTTATAACTTACCGCTGTGTCACAGGATTGAAATGCGTTATAGCACTACTTTTGTTTGTGTCACATGGTCAAAATCTAGTAAATGATAAAATTTGTTATAATAATACTTTGATTCAAAACAGAATTCATAAGAATGCTTATAAGGATAGTAGTTTATTTGACTATGGCCAGCTTTATGCACTGTATATGAAAATGCATCTTATAGCACAAAGATACTACTTACAAAATTTCTATATTTTCAAGTTTTTCAATCTGATGCCAGGATTTCTAATCCCAGCCCACCAAGCCCAGAGTTTCTAATACCAGTGTACATAATATTACAAACAGTTGCAATTCTTTTTTAGGTCAAATGATATAGAGAGAAAGTCTCTCTTGAGAGTCAATTAACCCGCCGCATATTATTCTTCTTATTGAACACTGGCTGTCACCCAACAAAACTCTATTCTTGCCCAGGTATTGTGTATGGTCTGTATTTTGTAGAACTAATTTTATTCATGGAGGAACAATGGTTTTTATAGGCGACGACTATTTTGATGACCAATCTGTACAGATTTTAATGGCATTTTAGTGGAAAAAGAATTTGAATTTTCGGTTGTACAGGGTGGCCCAAATTCGAGCCTCATCATTGAGATCTCGGTAATCGTAAGAGATACGAGGTCGGTTAAATTATGGCAAAGTTGCATAATTTTATGACCAATAAAATGCCGTTTCGAAATTAGAAAGATTCCGAATACTCCCGGAGATATCGGAAGAAACCGAAATTTTGTGAAATCGTTTTTATTTTTTCCTGGGCTTATTTGGAGAGCAATTTTAAAATAAATGTGACTTCATTATTGTCACTTTTTTTCCTTTAGAAGATGGTGCTACTAAATTTAGAATTCGACGTTTCGTCTTCAGACGGTTTCTGGGGTCCATGCAGCAACTACCTTTTTAATTCAATTTTGTGCTGCAGAAAAGAGCAGTGCGTTACTTGTGCAGCGTCTTGCCATCAAAATCTTGCAGGCAGGTTTCTCTCTCATAGGATCCTGACACTTTCCAGCCTGTTTATACTGGAAATGGTATCTCTAGTACATCAAAAATGATTGAATCGACAAGTCATTATAATACCAGAAGCTGCAATGTGACGTTTCCGTTGATTCTTTCGTCAACTCTTATAAAAAAATCAATGATTTATAATGGCAAAACTTTGTTCAACAGGATTTATGATCAGGTTAAATCTGATCTTAATGAATCCCAACATGGATTTTTTCCTAAAAAGTCTACCCAGTATCCTGTTTTCAGTATTTACTTACATAAATCTGGATGTCATCTTTAGTTAGGTACTTGGAGAAGGCTTTTGAGAAAATAAAACATTGTCATGCACTGGCGTAACTAGCCATCTGACCTGGGGGGGGCCTAGGGTGGGCCTGTTTTTTGAAAGTCCTCATAGGTGCAGGATAATATTTTTATAAATTTGTTTATGGGGGGAGGGGGAAGCTCGCCGTAGGCTCCGGCGGAGGCGAAATTTTTTTTCCGGATGCCACGCCTTAAAACTTCTATTTTATAGTGTATATATTTTTCTATTTTTTTTCTACGAGCGTGCGAAAAGTGCTTTTTTCTGCACGCATTTTAGGCCATGAAAATATCACATCATCATCAAAATAATTATGCCTGGTACTTTTATGTCCTAAAATGCCTTATATCCCGATTATTATCCAAGAATAGAGATGGAGAATAGCAACATTAGCAATATAAAGTAATAGAGCATAGAATTGACCACAAATAACGAAAGGACAGAATACTAATACCATACCTCCCTTATCTAAGACTAATACGACTTGTATAATTCTTATACAAAGTTGTGTAAATTTTTATTACATACGTGATACTGATACTACCACACGGAACAGAATGATCATTAAATACGTTTGTACTTTCGCATTCCCTACGAGAGCTCCGTGCACCCATGAGAGGTTGCTCATGGGAACACCTGCCCAATGCTGCCTTGTAGTTGGGGCCAGTGGCCTAGGGCCTGTTATTGCGACTTATTTAAAAAAGTAGAACAGTGCAATTATAGGCGATTAGCTGAATAAACCGGGCTTAAATCACTTACCTAGCTACAGTGTTGCCAACTCTGAATCAAGACTGTCCACTAGAAAAAAGATTTAAATCCACTAAAATCCACTAGGAGAGAAAAAAATGGCGCCGCAGGCGAAATTTTTTTAAACCATTGGAAAATCTACTAAATTTTTCCCACTCTTTTTTGAAATTTTTGTATCATCTACCATGTGTTAGTTTCTTCTCTTTGTTTCTTCTTAATAGGGCGGGTTTCTCAATAGCAAGTAACCTCCGGTTTAGTTTTAACTCCAGGGTGAGCGTGTCCAGTTGGTATGTTTACCCTAGAGTTATCCTTAACCCGGGGGTGACCTGCTATTGAGAAACCGGCCCTTATAGATTATGTTACAGCAGTATGTTTATAGAAGCATGAACGCCGGGTTTACTTGACTTGAATTTTGAAAGTGACAATGTTGACAGTTGAACTGAAAGCATCATTGACAATATTGACATACCTACAATATGAAAAAATATGTCAAGGATGATACACACTACGACATTACTACTACAGGTTGGCCTATCCTCATAAGGTCTGTGTGTTGTGTAACAAATCCCTCCCTCGCCAAATCACCAGTTTTGATGTAGGCAGCAGGTTATTTCTCATCTTGACGAAGGCTGTTTAAACAGCTGACGACTTAATTATGACATCGGAATTGGTGAAACACCAATATGGCGGCGATTACCAAAAACGATGCCGATAAGCAATACTGTAGATGTGTATCATCCTTAAAAAATATGCTGCCTTCTGTAAATTAACATGAATTCTATAGAAATACGTTATTTCGAAATTTTAAAAACAAGTATCGCAAACTAATGGAAGCGAAATATCACTGAAAATTATCGAGCTAAAAATTCACTAGAAACCGTGGATCTCATTCCCATTCCCATTGAAATTACCACTATAGTGGAATCTGCTAAAACCATTCCACTAGACGACTTTTAAATCCATTAGAACTAGTGGATATTCTACCGAGTTGGCAACACTGCCTAGCTAACGCAGCTTATCAGCCACTGTAAAGTATATATCAGCAAGGATAGGGTCGATCAGGATCGCCGCGCATTACCGTTCAAATTTAGTAGATAATAACATAATAGTTATTAATGATACAAGTTCGATATGAACGCCATAATGAAACGCGTGTAACGTTAAACCACGAGGCGTTAGCCGAGTGGTTTAGTTACACAAGTTTCATTAATAAAGTTCATATCGAACGTGTATCATTCAAAATTTAATCTACAATGGTCCAAATAGATTTGATTTGCCTTGAAATAGCAAAAACTTTTCAAATTAAAATTTGAAATTTAGCAGGTGCCCGTACTAGTCGAGAACCTGCTTGTTGGTTTTTAGAATTTTGACTTTGGCAGCTTCAATATTGGAGTCCATTTTTGTGCCATAAATTCAATTTTATAGTGGAAAATAATATTATTATTGGTGATTCTGAGTTCGAAAGTGTCTCTTCGAATATAGAGACAGCATTATTGAAAAGGTTCTTCTGGCAACTAACTTTCTTTTTGTATATTTTTCATTTCAAAATTTGGGTGTTATTATGAATTCTTAAACGCACTAGTGCTATTATGAAGGACCTAATGACATTCAAATGACAATGCTAAATGTGTCATAATGACACCGACGTAGATTAAATTATAATAGGTAACGTAGCTTTCATAATAGTATATTATGCAATGATCATGTAATGATAGCCATTAATCCACGAGCATGATGTTTCGTATATAACATGCGAGTGTATTAATGGCCATTACATGAGAGTTGCATACACTATATTTTTTCTACTTCCATTAATAAACGAAATACATATTTATTTCAAGAATATAGTAAACTTCTCAACTAGTGACAATTGTTGACCACTATTGACAATTTCGATGATTTCGAAAATTAGGATCTAGACGTCATTTGGGCATAAATTCCGCACCCGATTTATTAATTTTTTGTTGTTTCTTCTGGTAAATACTAATAGAAACAATCCAAAATTCCAAAACAAGTCTGTTATTTTTATATAAACATTGTTCATGTTCAAAATAACTCGATTCCAGTGGCTGAAAAATCTGTATCATAATGAAAATCTGTATCATAATGAAGTTCATTATGAAACAGATTTTAAGCGTATTATGAAACGTCAGTAGAAAAAATACTAAATTATTAAAGTTTTTTCTGGGGGGCCTAGCGACGTCTGGCCCCCTGTAGTTACGCCAGTGGTCATAGGTAGTTAAGTATCTGCAAGAGAATCTTATCGAATAATTTGAATAATCTGATAACTTCTTAATTATCTGGATGACAACAATATGTGGAAATCAAGGGGGGACGTTTATTTGATGCACTTTTGGTTCCTCAAGGGTCAATTAATTGTCATAGGGATCAATGGGGTGTGTCAGGTGATAAAAAGTTGTAGGTCATTACTGTTTGCTGATGACTCCAAATTGTTTAGTAACCGCTTAGATAATTGTGACTGTTTGTAGACAGATTTGGAAAGGGTTGTTGAATAGTGTAATGCAAATGGTTTTAGGCTTAACATTAAAAAATGTTTGAAATTGACCTTAACTTACTACATTTTCAAACGTCTTCACACAGTTTTTGAAACATGTGGCATTTTGAAAGAAATTTCTATTGCTAACTGGTATTGAATAAAACGGCTGTTAAGGAAATTCAAAAGAGGACATCCTCATTTGGACAAAGGTGTCCAAAAAGTTGTCCTCACCTGGACAAACGGCCCAAAAAAAGATCTCGAGTGTCGAAACTAGTTTTTGGGAAAATTAATTTTAAAGTTTTGGACAACAGTAGACAAGAGTTCAATAGTTCTAAAACTGATGCCAAACTTTGCTCAATTTATAGGGAATTTAGTCAAATACCTAATAGACTGTGAGATAGGGGCT